TTATTTTCTTGATTTCTGGAGATGTATTCTGGCATGCTTCTCCAGAAATCAAGACCTATTTTGAAGTCTGGCCTTGGTATTAATTAGCTGAGGAACTTTAAGGAAACCATTTAACCTACCTGAGTCTCAGTTTAATCTCAAAGAGAAAATGAAGTTATACCTAGAAAATTTAAACATAATGCCTGGCACTTAGCAAGACTCAACAAACAGCTGTTATCATTGTTATTATTTCATTTTCCATCTCAGGTTGTCAATTGACTTATTCAAATAAAACATTATTTTCCCAAACTTATAGACAGGAAATACTCAACATTAACTCTACTGTTTAAATAAACCTAAATGCCTTCTCTTTCTTTATTCGGTGTTTTTAAAATTTCTGTTCTAGCAATATTTTGGCTACATCTGAATCAAATAATATGATTTTGTTTAAAACTCCAAACTTATCCCAGCTTAAAAAGAACAGGTTATGCCTCACTAGGAATAACTCCATATTCCTTAAATATCTTGACTGATGATTACTGACTTGAGCTGAATTAATGCCAACTGCATTGAGGCTGTGGCCCAGAAAGAGAGAGGTCATGAAAAGGAGTGATAGGAGTCCATTTGTGCTGATATGTCTGCTGCCCTATTGCTAGTTGTCTTTCATCCTGGGCAAGGCAATTATTCACCAAGAAAGTGGTTTTAGATCTTTCTCTCCAAGTAGAAACATCTGTTTTATGGCCGGGTATATGGCTCATGCCTATAATCCCAGCATTTTGGGAGGCCGTGGTGGGTGGATTGCTTGAGGTCAGGAGTTCCAGACCAGCCTGGCCAACGTGGCAAAATCCCGTCTCTACTAAAAATACAAAAATAGCCAGGCGTGGTGGTGTGTACCTGTAATCCCAGCTACTCGGGAGGCTGAGGCAGGAGAATCGCTTGAACCTGGGAGGCAGAGGTTGCAGAAAGCCAAGATTGCACCACTGCGCTCCAGCCTGGACAACAGAGCAAGATTCCATCTAAAAAGAAAAAAAGAAAAAGAAAAGAAAAGAAACGTTTATTTTATAATCTGTTGCTTATACATTCCTGGAGATTAGTGCGCCCATGTGATATCTTTCCAATATATCACTTCTCTGTGGAGTTGATCAAGAGCAGCAAGTATGACTTAATTCTCCGTCTATCCCCAGCTCTCATGCAGTGCCTGGTGCACAGTAGATGTGCAGCAAACCCTGAATTACAACATCACTTTGGAGCCGTGGTATGTCTTGTTTGATTTGGTTTGTTTAGATCAGTTTTCCAACCATCCCTGAGAGACATGCACTTCGATCAACCATAGTGAATGACTTTCTACTTTAATGATTCTCAACTGCAGAAAGGAAATGAGAAGACAGAAGGCATGCTGCTCATATCTCCTGGGAATGTGCAGTTGCTGTTGTATTTTTGTGGGTTGTTTTTTCAGTTGAGTACTCAAATGTCCCTAGATTTTATCAGATTGTTGACAAATGAAATCATATTAACATCTACATCCAATGTCATGCTCCTATTCATGAAAAACTCTAGCCCTTGCAAAGTTCATTCTTCTCCCAGCCCCTGGACCCCAGGTGTTCCTGAGAGTCATCCGAGATGTCTTTCCTGGGTTCTCCTGGTATCTCCTAACTATCCCTTCATCACAAGCCTTCTTGCATTGGTTCTTATTGCCTACAAGAGTATCTTCATGACCACAGCAGGTAAGAAACCCTAATGCCAAAGCCAGGAGCACTGTTTTTCAAAGTTCCCATAGCTACTGACTCTGGAGGTATCAGAGCAGTTCTGGGCTCCTTTCCAATAGGGGACTGCTTCTCCTCTGTCTTCGCAGCAAGCTGTTACCTAGGCCTGCAATAGAGCTGCTCACATCCACAGCCATGCACAAGGCCTCAGGAAAACAGCTCCTTCAGCATCTGTCTCAAATCCTCTCTCTGTCCAGTCCTAGTATCTCGGGGTACAGATATCTTTCTATGCCTTCCACTGTCCTCTTTGTCACTTCAGTACACCAAAAAATAAACAAGCACTTCTCCCACATCTACCAGATGACTGAGATCCCCCATATGTCAATTCGGACCAATAAGCAATGACAGGCCTCACGTTCAAACGGTAAAACTCTATATCCGCATCTAGACTCAGCTATGGCATCCTGCTACACATTTTAAGACAAATGGAAGCTTGTTTATTCATTAGTATAATGTAGTATTACACTTGGTTCATAATTGTACACCATGAACCTCTTTCTACTTAACCGTTGTAATCTAAGGTCACTTTGTTATGGTTGTAAGGTTAATAACTGGGCAACATGGATTCTGGTTCTAATTCTTCCTGAAACCATCTGAGTGATAGTAAAGTGTACAGTTAACTGACTTAACTGTGATGGGGCCTGTTCCCCCATCCACAAAAAAGGTGTTCAGTCCACACAGTTTCTAAAATCCCTCTTAAGCCTAATAGTACGTGAGATTTTGTGCTAATAAAACAGAATATTATTTGTAGTGACTTTCAGTGATGTTGGTAGTGGATATGGTGTTCTCTGTCATAACAGTTTGGTATGACATTAGAATGTCAATTACTGCCTTAGTTCTAGATATGTTTCTTATCTTTTCATATATAACTGAGGCGTACCTACGAGGTGTGCTGTATTCTATTTATTAAAAAATATTATTTTCCCAATAAAGTACAGATTATGTTGAATTTAGAGGGTGGACATAAAATGCATAATAAGAAAAAAAATCAACATGAAGTGCCTCTCTGAAAATATTATCCCAGCCTTGAATTGAACAGGATATATCATCCTGGATTCTCATGGCTGTCAATGCCAAAGTACTACATGATACAGGCATGTGCAACTTGGTAAGCAAAATTATTGATGCTTGTGCAAAGAAAGGTTCTCTCATATTAACAGTTTTAATATTTTACTTTGGAGTTTTATTTAAACAACCTCAGTAGTTTGGAGGACAGCTTGAGAAAGCCTTAAGAGTTTGAGACTGAATTTGATGATACTTTCTCATATGTTCGTGTACAGATAACACCGTTCACAGCGCTTTCCTACAAGACAAAAGAAAGATGAGGTATTTCAGTATAGTTGGAGAAACTAACATTTAGAAAAGTGCAAACTAAGTACTATCTACACATACATTCCTTAAAAATATTGAAAGAGAGGCTGGGCGCTGTGGCTCACACCTATAATCCCAGCACTTTGGGAGGCCAAGGTGGGTGCATCACCTGAGGTCAGGAGTTTAAGACTAGCTTGGCCAACATGGTGAAACCCTGTCTCTACTAAAAATACAAAAATTAGCCGGGGATGGTGGCACGCACCTGTAGTCCCAGCTACTCAGAAGGCTGAGGCAGGAGAAGCATCTGAATCCCGGGAGGTGGATGTGCAGTGAGCCAAGATTGCACCACTGCACTCCAGTCGGGGTGACAAAGCAAGACTCTGTCTCAAAAAAAAAAAAAAAAAAAAAAATCATATATATCAAAAATATATATGAGATCTATATAGACTATAGATAGGACCTGTTAGCTGGTTTTGCCATGTTCTATATAACCTATATGTAGCAAATCACATATATGTGATATATTTAGAGTATATATAATGTTTATATATGTATAAAGCTAGGTACACAATTTGGAATTTGAAGTTTTTATTTAAATATTTTAAATGCCAACATTGATGCATTTTGCTATTTTACATACTCTACATTTTGTAAATGATAATACTAGCTTACATTGATGTAGTATTTTATGGTTTTAGGGCACTAATATACACATGACAATCCTGAATTCTCTCAGAAAACCTTTGACAAAGACACTGCCTACATCTTGAAGGCAAGGAATCTGAATCTTGAAGAGATTTAATGAATTGTCCAAAGTCACATAAGTACTGAATGGCATGGGTGGAAATCCACATCCTTGGATTCTGAGTGTAGTGTTCTTCCTAATGAACTCTAAAAGCTTTCTGTTTATTGGCTTATGTCATTATAAACAGCAATAAAATCAATCATCCTTGGTCTTCCCCTTGTGACTTTATAAGGAATAAAATGTACCCTTCATTGTAGAAAGAAAAAAAATCACTGTATTAAGAAATGAGTTTAGATTTTTGTAACCTACACACGAATCTTGCATATTCCCTTAGAACTATTTTATATTATGTAGAAAGTCACCTTTTTATTCCTTTTGGTAGAGGTGGGGGTTTGGGAGGAGGAAAATCATGAACACACATCCTTCTACTCTGGAGAGTGGGGAAGGTGACCTGGGAAACCATCTGAAAGGGAGCAGGATGGATTCCACAAAATATAGATTGTCCAATGAAAACAACCTGACTGCTCATCCCAGTATCACCACATTTTTCTAGCTGCATATCCTTAGGTAAGTCAATGTCTGAATTTCAGTTTCCTCACTGTTAAATGGGATAATAAGCCTTACCTTACAGGATGATTGTGGAAGTTGGGGAAATAATATTAATATATGAAAACATAGGGACATGGTAGTGACATGTAACTCATTCATACACCAAAAAACCACCACTTCAGCTTCTTATCCCTGGTCTAGATTTCCTTTTCATGTTTTTGTTTGGTGTTGAGATGGAAAAACAGTGAGAAGTTAATCCTGGAGTAGAGTAATGGCAACAACCCTCAACCCCTGCTAATATCTTCATTGCACAAATACATGCTTGCTTTGGTTTACCTGTAGAGTCAAAGGATTAGGCTGCATAGTATTTTCATTCTCTTTAGTTTTTTAGTTCCTCAATCCACACACATTTTATATAATACTTGTGATGATACATTTATCTCATAATTTTTTTCTCATTCTTTTAAACTATGAGAACAAGGAAAATGGCATTCATTTTCATTGTTTTAGAACAAGTTATCTGGGTGATTTTATATTAGTTGTGCAGAAGGTGGGAAGATAGAGAGGACCAGCTCACTCACCACCACCATTTTCCCATCCACCAGCTTTCTCGTTATGGTGGTTTCTTTGCCATCCCAGTTCTGAACTTGAATCAGGGACTCCTTATCTAAGGTTACTTTACTCTGAAAAACAGAAAAAACTAAATTCAGATCAGCTTGTCGTATTTCAACCCTAAAATTTTATCAGGTGGCAAATTCTTTTTAGCTGTTGTAATACTCTCAGGTAGTTTTAGAATGGTGTTGACAACCCTATTTATTTATTTATTTATTTATTTTTAATTTATTTTTAATTAATTTATTTTTTTAATTATACTTTAAGTTCTAGGGTACATGTGCACAACGTGCAGGTTTGTTACATATGTATACTTGTGCCATGTTGTTGTGCTGCACCCATCAACTCGTCAGCACCCATCAACTCGTCATTTACATCAGGTATAATTCCCAATGCAATCCTCCCTGCCCCCCCCATAATAGGCCCCGGTGTATGATGTTTCCCTTCCCGAGTCCAAGTGATCTCATTGGTCAGTTTCCACCTATGAGTGAGAACATGCGGTGTTTGGTTTTCTGTTCCTACGATAGTTTGCTGAGAATGATGGTTTCCAGCTGCATCCATGTCCCTACAAGGGACACAAACTCATCCTTTTTTATGGCTGCATAGTATTCCATGGTGTATATGTGCCACATTTTCTTAATCCAGTCTGTCACTGATGGACATTTGGGACAACCCTATTTATTTTAAGACTTTGTCAGCAGTAAATTTGTTGGCTGATTCTGCTGAAGAAAACAGGTTTTACAATAGTAAAACTGTAATATTATCTTGAAGAACAAGTAAAATGTTCTTTCTTTCTTTCTTTTGTTTTTTTTTTTTTTTGAGACAGAGTTTCGCTCTCATCACCTAGGCTAGAGTGCGATGGCGAGATCTCGGCTCACTGCAACCTCTGACTCCCTGGTTTGAGCAATTCTCCTGCCTCAGCCTCCCAAATAGCTGGGATTACAGGCACGTACCACCACGCCCAGCTAATTTTTGTATTTTTAGTAAAGATGATGTTTCACCATGTTGGCCAGGATGGTCTCAATCTCCTGACTTTGTGATCTACCCACATTGGCCTCCAAAAGCGCTGGGATCACAGGCATGAGCCACTGCACCTGGCCATGAAATGTTCGTTTTATCTTTGACTGAGTAAGCAGAGTATTATCTTTCTGCATAAAGAATTACAAATACATTTTAACTTACAAAATAAGTGTGAAACTTCAGCCTGGACAACACAGTGAGACTCCCATGTCTATAAAAAATAAAAAATTAGCCAGGTGTGGTGCCACATGCTTGTAGTCCCAGCTACTCGTGAGGTTGAAGTGGGAGAATCACTTGAGCCAGGGTAGTTGAGGTTAGAGTGAGCCAAGATTGTACCACAGCACTCCAGCCTGGGCAACAGAGACCCTGTCTCAATAAAAAATAATACTAATAATAATACATGGGAAATGAATTCAAACTCCCATTATATGAGCTTACTTAAAAGAAAGAAGGCCTCTTTCCTCTTCTTATCCCAATAATATTTTCCAGTTTTTTGTTGTTGTTGCTGTTGTTATTTTTGGAGATAGGGTATCACTGTGTCGTCCAGGCTGGAATGCGGTGGTGCAATCATGGCTAACTGCAGCTTCAACCTCCTGTGCTCCAGCAATCCTCCCACCTTAGCCTCCTGAGTAGCTGGAGCTATAGGCATGCACCACCACAGTAGCTAATCTTTGTGATTTTTGTAGAGGCGGGATCTCACTATGTTGCTCAGGCTGGTCTCAGACTCCTGGCATCAAGCAGTCCTCCTGCTTTGGCCTCTCAAAGTGCTGGGATTATAGGCATGAGTTACTGCACCCAACCTAGCTTTTTTATTCTAGTAGATTGCTAAGAATTTAGCATAGAAATCCATATTAGGCATTTAAGTCAAAAATTTTCTTCCATTTTATATGGTATAAGAATTTAAACTCTCATATTCATTTAGTAACCGACTATTACAGTGGCATGATAGTTCCTTTTATCAGGATATTACCCTCCATATAGTTTAACAATCCTCTATTGAGTTAATTCATTCAAATAATAAATATTTATTGAACAACTGTCATGACCAAGCACGGGGTTCTGTGAAACAGACAGGAAATCCTGTTTTGGATGAGCTTACCTTCTGATGTAGGGAAAAAGACTGTAAACGATAAGTATAGAAGTAAATTAAATATTATAAATAAATAATATATTCCTGAGATATGTGCCCCTGAGATATGAATGAAAACTCTGTGCGGCACTTTCAGGGTGAGACAATGAAAAGCCCATGTCTCTTTGTCTACCTTGGTGTTGGAGAAGACCACAATGTCCACAGGTGCAGCTACAAGGTAGTTGAACCTCTTTTGGCCTGGATCCCTGAGAGATTAGGAGGAGCAGATTTCCTGTTTACTCCACTACACACACACAAACTTCCCCAACGCCACCCAACACTATGTATATACTGTAAGTTAGAAATAAATCCCCATTGTGTTAACTCACTCCAGGCTTGTGGTTCGTTGTTATAGTGGCATAACCTTACCTATACCAGCTAATATGAGGTTTATTCACTGCAATTCTATGTGTGGAAAACTGCTACAAAATGGGTAAGGAAAACTTTTGTTTCTGAGAGGACTAAACAGTAATCTAGGGAAATTATTCTCAAAATGTGGTCTGCTAAGCATCTGCATCAGATTCATTAAGAATGCAATTTTCAGGGCCTCTGGGGATGGCAGTGAGCAGGAGGCATTTTTCACAAGCATCCCAGAAGATTTCTATCTTCACATATGACATCCTTAGACCTATGTTTTAGACAAAAGTTTCTCTTAAGGACTTTAGATATGTTTGCTAGAATTGCTTACTTACCTAGGATGGTATCTAATATTCTTATGAAATGTGTCTGAAAGACTGTTGGAGGCCTCACCTTTGTTTTGTGGCCGCCTGGTGTGATTTCCTCAAACTCTTCTCCCAGCTTAAAGGAGATCTCACTATTTTTAAAGATGCTTTTGGTTTTTATTGTGATGACATCTCCATCTGTACTGATGGTCACAGTGGGTTTTGCCAAACAGCCCAGTTTCCTGCTGGCTCTTCCTATACCTGGAAACCAGATAAAAGGAGTATTATCTTTTCATATAAAGAATTACAAATGCATTACATTACAATACAATACTTAAATCTGTTGTTGACTCCAAAAACTCAACATTCTCTGTATAATTCTTTGCTAACTAAACTAGGAGATCTGTGAGTTGAACCCATTTAATGCTGCATGAGTTCACATATCCCAAGCTAGCAGCTCCACCATTACATATTAAAATAGACTATTTTTGCAGAAAAAAAATCTGTCTCTAGTTTTTGTTTAGTGATTATTCTTTTTTCACTAGTCCAGTAGTTATTAATCTTGTAGATTTTGGGACCTCTTTGAAAATCTGATTAAAGCTATCAACCATCTCCCTACTTTTAATTATATCCACTCACATACAAACAAAATACTTTGGTACAGATTTTGCCAGATATTTAGCTCTTCACTTATATTCTTACATGTATACATATATGGGTTTCTTTCCTCAATGATGTATGTTTTTATTGTGGTAAAATATTCATAACATAAATTTACCGTTTGAAGTTACAGTTCAGTGGTATTGAGTACATCACAATGTTGTGCAACCATCACCATTATTTATAGGATTTTATAAAAGATAAATGTTGTATCTATTGTTTTTCAACTTGCTTTTTCCCCTTATCTGTATGTCTTGAAAATTTTCCATGCCACTACTTATAGATATATACTTTTTCATAGTACATAACATTCCACAGTGTGCAGAGACCAAAACTTAATTTGTCTGTCTCCCTGTTGATGAGAAATTCATTTGTTTCAGTTTTTGTTATTATAAATAACTATGCAGTGAACATCCTTGTATATACAGTTCTGTGCAGCACATGTAGGAGTATTTTCAGTAGAAATAGCATTACATATGCTGCAATACCTAAGTTAAAATTCTAAGGGAAGATATATTGGGAAAATACTACAATGCAGTTCATAGGATTCATATTATAAAACACGATCACAGGATGTGACAGATTGGATGTGGTTCCTGAAGATATTCACATCCTAATCCCTCGAACCTGTGAATGTTACCTTTACATGTTAGGGAACTTTGCAGATGTGGTTAATTTAAGGATCCTGAGATGCGGAGTTTATCCTGGATTATCAGAGCAGACCTCAAACATAATCATAAGTTCCCTTTTAAGAGGGAGGAAGAGGGATGCTAAACTACAGAAGAAGAGAGAGCAGAGTGAAAATGGGAGCAAAGTTTGCAGCATTGCAGTCACACACTAAGGAAAGCCAGCAGCCAGCAGAGGCTGAAAAACAAGATCTATTCTGAACTCTATACTGAAGATCCCTTAAAGCTTAGAGCAAATGTTTACAAAATAATCATTTTTTAAAATAGTTGTGTTTTTTTGCTTTAAAATATTTATCAAAATCACTTGCTGTTTAGTATATGATACATGCTTGCTTTGTTTCTGTAAATCCATGGTAACTTATATGAGGGATGATTGTCAACTCCAACGTAGTTTTGCACAGAACTATATCTTGGTACTGAATCAATATTTATTTTTTCCTATGTGAAAAATTAGGGAGTCCAAGATTAATATTATTTTATACAGAGCAAGTTCTGTGCTACCAAAATGCCCATTTTTACTGGATATGATATGCAAGTAAACATAGCTCACCCAGCTCCTTCAAGTATTCTTCGAAATTTTCACAAGAAACGGACTTCCATGTTCCTTGGAGCTGGTCAACCATTCTGTCTGAGATAAGTTGATCTCAGAGAAAAGTAGTTTCAGGTGTATGTTGGTATACCCTGAAGTAGTATGGAAACTTATTTTTAATACAATTCTGGGTAGAGAATGAAATGAGAAAAGTCAGGAAATAAAATAAGGAACTCTAACCCTTGCAATGTTCCTTGAGTATCATCTAAAGTAGAAAAGTGTTCTTAAATGTAAATAAATCAGGATGAAAATGGAAATGTGGTAGAGTGTTTAGCAGAACTAGATATACCTTTTCCAACACTAATTTAGAATCAAAACTAAATGTTACTCCCCTTTCCTAGGACCTGCCAGGCACAAAGCAAGGTGTAAGGGCTGGGTCTGGACAGCTGTGTTTATGCCATGGAACTTTTGTGACCAGGTCTCTCTCTTTCTCTGTCCGAATATGATTCAGAAAAAGCCAATTTATTGGCTGTTTGAAGATCATTCTCATTCTTGATAGTTTGAACTAAACACCAGAGAGACTTCATAGATGGTACTTGACATTTGAAGTAAAAAGTTAAGTTTAGTAAGGGCTAGAACAACCATCTTAAGTCATGTGCACAATGAAAAAAGAGAATGGGACAGAGAAAACAGAGATCATGTTACACACACAACACATGCACACGCACACACACACAGCCCTGTTACTGACACTTTTCCAGGTGCCAGCTCAACTTCCCAAAAGCTTAGAGAGCCGTCATTGCCATGAGAACACCAAATATCTTCTAAATCCTCTTTAATTTAGGCTAGTTTCTGTTCCTTTCAACCCTGACTGTAACATCTCAGTGTCCACTGATATCTGTAAGTCAGAAGAGGGGTCAACGAATATAATAGCAAATCCATCAGCTAAAGAAGAGGGGACTCCAAATGCTAAGTAAAGGACAAACATGCCCTTATACATTCCATCAGCCCCTGCGGACATCATTGCTAATTCTAGGCAGAGCTTGATGTCCATCGGTTGACACAAAGTTATTAAGAAATACTGAAGTTATAAAATTATTTTAAGACAGGAATGGGGACATGGCATTTTATAATAATTCCCATTAAAATGTTAAATTTCCAACTTCTAATATATTATCCAGGCCAATAGTCTTATTGATAATTATTCAACATTTGTAAAGCAACTAGCATTGTATGCCTAATATGAGGCTAAAAATTTTGCTACACTATTGATTTAATGTTCCAGATATGGTTGGTAAAGATACCATTGTTTGGCTGGGTGCGGTGGCTCACGCCTGTAATCCCAGCACTTTGGGAGGCCCAGGCAGGCAGATCACAAGGTCAGTTCGAGACCAGCCTGGCCAATATGGTGAAACCCTGTCTCTACTAAAAATACAAAAATTAGCTGGGCATGGTGGGGTGCACGTGTAGTCCCAGCTACTTGGGAGGCTGAGGCAAAAGAATCGCTTGAACCCAGGAGGCAGTGGTTGCAGTGAGCTGAGATCGTGCCACTGCACTCCACTGCACTCCAGCCTGGGTGACAGAGCAAGACTCTGTGTCAAAAAAGCAAAGCAAAACAAAACAAAGAAACCAAGTTCATTGGTTGGTTTTCCTGAGTAATTTGTATGACTGTGCTCATTCAACTTAACAGGTATAAGGCTGAAGCCAGGAAATGACCCAACATTGAGGGTAATTTGGGTACTAAGAGTAGGCACTGAAGGCACTAAAATTCCCAGGATTTTTCCAGAAAATGTCAAATGTGCTGCCACATATGTTGGATGCACATTGATTCCCCTCCCACAAGGAAAATTATGATTGAAGATCACCTCCTGGAAGGAGATGTATTGGGAGCGGTGTTTTTCCCTGTTGCTGACAGGTTAGACTTGCAGAAGTGTCAGTACTGAGATGTGAGACAGAACCCATGTATGGCTTCTATCTCTCAACTGTGGCTCCACCATTCATGTGTTCATGACATCAGCTCAAAGACTGCCTAATGTCAACTGGCCCAGTCATTTTGTTTACTCTGTTGTTCAGTGCCTCTTCTGTGATTGATGCTTTCTAGTGTTCATTAATATGAGAGCCAAAAATCTTCACATATTTTGCCCACTCCTATAAGTTCACACACATTCCCCTCCACCAAACATTCTTGTCTGCAATTTTTCAGTCCTTCTCCTTCCACATCCCTGACCAGCTTTTCAGACAATTCGCCTCCACCATAAGTATGTATATATTCCCATCCCAAGCCATTGTGTCCTCCACATGACATAGGGAACAGGTGCACAACTCTGAGCTTTGTCCATTGATATGATTTTCCTTACCAGTTCCTCAAGTCCCCCCCCCACCCCAAGTGTCATGAAACCACTGCCCATTTTTAACTTGCCTCCACACCCTGAGCTGACTGGTACATTAAACATGCTCAGGCTTATTCTCCTCCTTTAGTTGGTCACATGGGACCCACATACTGTCTGGAGCATGATCTGAAGGAGTGGTGCTCGTGCTGTGGTGGTGGGTGACATGGGGATCTGCACCACCTGCTCATGCAGTTACCTTAGGACTTCTGGTCTTGTTTAGGCTTTAATCCAGATATGCAGTTTGATCTTATGATGGACTTCTGCTGGATATACCTGACTTGATGACTCTGTGGGTCTGACAGAACCTGGCTCATAATGGATAGTTCCAGATACATTGTTACTTGATATTCTATAGTCAAGAATTCTGTCTCTATGGGGCCCCAGTAACACATTAGGCACTCTGTTTTAATAGGTGTATAAGTCTCTGTTACAGATGGCATGATCTTTCTTCACAACCCCAGACATTGGTGCTATGATGCACACACACACACATACACACACACACTCTCTCTCTCTCTCTCACACACACACACACCATACACATTATACTGCATATTTTCCTCTTACCAATACCTCCAGCATTGTGGAGTTTACCAATCACATGACCCAAGAATCAGGGCAGCTCATATCAGTGCCCTTCCTTCCTGCAGACCATTTTCTGCTCTAGGCTCCACTCAAAGCAGGGAGCCTTTCATGCCAGCCAGTACATGGACTGCAGCACATTCCTAAATGTGCAGTATGTTGCCACCATAAGCCAAAGAGTCCCACAAGAATTTTGATAGAAGAGGCAAGATGTAGCAATTTATCTTTTGGAAAATATATCCTTACATGCCCTTGGCCAAGCTGGACCCCTAAGAACTTTACAAAAGTAGAAGTTGCCTCAATCATCACCAACTTTAACTCCCATGTTCTGTGTCAAATGTGTCTTACCAAGGTCTCCAGTATACTGGCCACTTCTTGTTCATCCTGCCTGATAACATGATATTGTGCCAAATATCCAGACAGCCTAGATCTCATCTGATTATATTACAATAAAGAGTAGGAGTTAACATAGCCACAGGACAAAATCGGTGGCTCACACCTGTAATCCCAGTACTTTGAGAGCCCAAGGTGTGCGGATCACCTGAGGTCAGGAGTTTGAGACCATCTTAGCCAACATGGCGAAACCCCATCTCTACTAAAAATTACAAAAATTAGCTGGGATGGTGGTGGGCACCTGTAATCCAAGGTACTCAGGAGGCTGAGGCAGGATAATCACTTGAACCCGGGAGGTGGAGGTTGCAGTGAGCCGAGATCACGCCACTGCACTCCAGCCTGGGCCACAGTGGGACTCTAACTCAAAAAAAAAAAAAAAAAAAATGTAAACGTATATCATTGTCTGTTCCATGCAAATGCAAATAGTTTCTGATCTTTCCCAATTGAGGTAGGAAAGAATGTGAAATATGGTCTGACTGAACACCATGTACCTGACAGTGTATTAATCTGTACTAACAAAGATAACACATCAAGCGCAGTAGCCACCATTGGGGTTATTAGATGATTTTTCACTAGGCTAGAAATACTCTTAAGATTCATTTGGATTTTGCAGTGATCAGACTCATGAATCAAATGGTGCTTTGATATGAACCACCACCTTCTGCAGTCTTAAAGTCATTATGAGTAGCCCCGATTTCTGTCATTCCTTACTCCTCCCCTGCCACCAAATACAATATTTTTTATTCACCATCTTATCTAGGGCTGGAGAGAGGATAGCAGTGAAGAAGGTAGGAGTGTGGGGGTGCAGTTTCAGAAGCCTCCATTTTTCCTTCCAGACTATGATAATTCTTGTTTGAATTAGAAAATGAGAAAGGGGGAGCTTACTCCAACAGCCAAAGAGTTAATCCCAATTAGCATTCAGGCCCTAGGAAAATTACTTTTGGAGGAATCCAAAGACCTACCGGACCTACTGAGACCTAGACTTTGGCCAGGGTTCTGTTTATTATCTAGCTGCTATATGCCTTCACTCTAACATAAGGATTTGCAACTTGGTGAATCAACAATAATTCAGACCAAAGTCTATCAGAATATCTGGATATTCCTCTTTCCTCATTGCATATTTTCTCAAGTAAATGATAACAGATCTCCTTTGAGGAAAATGGGGGAGATTAACAGTTTATGATATTTCAGGGTTCTTCCTTCTGTGGGCTTGTCACCTATTGAGACAAAGGTATCCGGGTCTGAAAATTGGCTCAGATCTGGAATCTGGGCAGAGGATCATGACTTTCTACTGGGGTGCCTGTCCTTAGTCTGCTGCCCATCCATTCTTGCCTTCTTTTGATTGTGTATATGAAGCAGCACCCTTGTTGGCTAAACATCTATTTTGCCTCTATGGATTCAGTGTTATTTTAATAATCTCCATAACCCCTTCCAGGTCAAACACCCTTAGCTGTGCCTTCAACCTTGCCCCATTTTATGGTGAAGTACAATCAATCCCCTGGTTTCTGGCAGTAAAAGTGCTGCCATCTGGCCCAGATTGCATCAAATTCTCTTCATTCCCATCGCTACCAATGAGCTGAACTCTGACAACCCAACAAGAGCAACTACTGAAACTCTTAATGACGCTGTGGCCCCTCTCACCAGTGCATTCCTGATGGCCCAGTAAACATGAAAGAATCTTCTGGATTCTCTTACGGAACATAATTATCTGATTGCTTTTCCGACATATGTACGCATATATATGCACACACACACTTTTTCTTTCTATAGAAAAGTATTGTGACTATATTTA